TCAGCAGGAGCTTAAAGACAACCAGGCGTGGTGTGAGCCAGAATCCAGATGAGGGAAGTGGAGAACTGGAGAGGGGAAGGGTTGGTGGGGAGTTGGAAGACCCCTTGGAACTTGGCTATTTGAGAAATGTTTTACTTCTAGGTACTAGACAACTGGGTCCATGATGAGAACAAAGGCAGATCCTTCTAAAGTCTGGTGACTTTTTACTGTGTATAAGTTCCAGTTAATTGTTGCCTTCCACTTAGACGAATGGTGGAGAATTTACTCTGCTAATCCAGCAGCAACCCACATTCTAAAAATGCCTGACTCTCTTGTTTTCGCAGGTGTTGGGGCGATGTTTCTTGACAGTGGTGCAAGTCCATTTCCAGTTTTTGACTCATGCGTTGCAGAAGGTCCAGCCAGTGGCTCACTCTTGCTTTGCCGAGGTCATCATGCCAGAGAAAAAGAGCAGCAGCAGTGGTGGTGGCCTGCCCAGCGTGGGCCACACACCGGAGCTGGAGGAAGCTGTGCGGTCCTGGCGGGGGGCTGCTGAGGTAACCTAGGCTTTGGGGGGATAAGTGCCCTATGTCCAAATAGGAAAGACTCCAGAGGTTGTTTGCCTTTTGGTTCTTAAAAAAGCCATTTAATTTAGAAATCAAGTTTTAAACTGTTGTTATCATTAGTGTGTCCGTTCAGTGTCTGCATGAAGGCCACTTTGTGCCAGGCACTAGGATAGCAGCCTCGCCTCTTGGCCCCTAGGGAGCAAGGGCAAGGGGGCTGTGATGGAGGTGTTTGAGAGCCCAGAAGTGGTGCCTCATCTCTGAGAAGGCATGCCAGGGAGCTTCTAATAAGGGGGACCAGGGAGGAGAAGGCTGGCACCTTAGTCAGGAAGGCAGGGTGGAGCCGGCTTGGGCGGATGAGTGGTCAGCCTGGCAGACAGATGGAGTGGCAGGCCAAAGCCACACCACACAGAGTGAAACAGGGAATTCTGTGCTTTGGTTTTTGTTTGTGTTTTCTTTTTTTTTTTTTTTTGTCTTTTGATAGCCAAATTTATTCACTTTGGCAGTGCCTGGTAATCTTACAGGTTTTTAAACTCTAATATTCTTCACTGGTCTGACTCTGCCTAGACCCTCGTGTGTCCCTTGCTTTGCATGTGATTCAAGCAGTTCTCCAGTATTGCTTTATTTGACTTTATGCAGTCTTTCTGTTTTTTCCCAGCACAGCAGAGAGCTTCATAAATCCGTCCATCTAGAGGAGCCAGACCAAGTGACTGGGTCACAGTGGGTGGAGGTGGTAGTACTGTAGGGATGTTATGGCAGGGTGATTAGGGAAGGGAAGTAGATGTGTTTATTAGTGAAGATCCTCCTCTCATGGTGACCTCTGCGTTCCCACACAGCCTCCAGTCTGAGCAGTGACCACAGTGGCCCGCCGCAGGCACCCTCAGTACCTTCCCAGGGGACATTCTAGCCTAGCAGGGAGTTCCTTCTCTAGTTACTCTGATGTGGCATTCTCTACTCCTTTTCCACACCAGGAGAATTTAAACTTAACCAATAAAAATAGCTCTTTGTTTATTTTCTTTTTCTTCTGCTTTTTTTTTTTCTTTTAATTTTGCTATTGAATGTGTGCACTTGTTGGAGAGACAGAGACAGAGAGAGAGAGAGAGAGAAATCCCTTCCAGGGGGATGGCAATGCCACAACCCTTTCGCTTCCATTTTCTGTCAGGATTTTGGATACACACTAACTCAGTGTGATTTTTAAGCTTCTGAGTCCTGGACTTGAACCGCACAGCTGGTCATGTGGGATCCAGCTATATTAACTTCCATGCTACCTGTTGGCTCCCAAGAACAGCTCTTTAAAAAGTGTCTCTTGGGGCCAGCAGATAGCATCACATTTACATTACTGGACTTTCACGTGGCTGACTGTGGTTCAAGTCCCAGACCTGGGCTTCAGAATCACACCAGGCATGTGTGTGTGCGTGCTCAAGATTCTGGGAAAAAAATGGAGGGGGAGGGATTGTGGTGTGGCCATCACCTCTGTGGGTGATTTCTCACTTTCCCTCTCACTTTTTCTTAATTTCTCTCTCTCTCTCTCTGGCAAGCACACGTGCCCTAAGGCAAAAAACTCTAAAAAAATTTTCTCTTGGGACCATGTGGCCTAATAGTTACGTCACTGGACTCTCACATGGTCGACCATAGTTTGAGTCCCAGATTCAGTGGCTTGAAACTCACACTGGGCGTGTGTGCATGCCCAAAATCCCAGAAAGAGAATGGAAGAAAAGGGACTGTAGTGTAGTCATCCCCCCAGGAGGCGATTTCTCACTTTCTGGGCCTTTTGTCTCCAGAGAGTGCATGCAACCTATAGCAAAAATCTTTTAAAAAAACAAAAAACAAAAAACAGACAAACAAAAAATGTCTCTTGAGACTAGCATATGGTGTAGCAGTTATGTTGCTGGACTCCCACATGGCCAACTGCAGTTTGAGTCCTGGGCCTATGGCTTGAAAATCACACCGGGCACACGTGTGTAAGTGCCTAAGATCCCAGGAGGAGAATGGAGGAAAATGAATTGGGGCATGGCCATCCCCCGCCTTGGAGGCGATTTCTCACTTTCCCTCTCACTATCTCTGGTCTCTCTCTCTCTCCCCTAAAGTGCCTGCATCCTAAGGCAAAAACCTCTTTTAAAAAAATGTCTCGGGACCAGCAGTTAGCGTAATGGCTATGTCGCTGGACTCCCATGTAGTCAACTGCGGTTTGCGTCCGGGACCCAGTGGCTTAAAACTCACGCCAGGTGCATGTGCGTGCGTGCCCAAGATCCTGAGAGGAGAAAGGAGGAGAAGGGATTGCGGCGTGGCCATCCCCCCTGGGGGGTGATTTCTTACTTTCTATCTCTCTGTGTCTCTGTCTGGCTGGCTAGCACACGCACCCTATAGAAAAAAAAAAAAAAAAGTCTCAGTGGCATACTAGTTAAGGCAGCTGGATCCCACATGGCCAGTTGGTATAGTTGGATTCTCGGATATGATAGCTTGAAAAAACATACAAGGTGTGTGAGTGTACATGCCCAAAATCCTGAGAGGAGAAATGTAGGAGAAGAGATTGCTGTGGGGCCCCTCAGGGAGTGCTTTCTCACTTTTTCTTTCTTTCTCTCTCATTCTCTTTCCTGTGAGCACGTGTGGTCTATAACATATTTTTCAAAAATTGAAAAAAGTATTTTTTCCAATAAAACCATATTTACTAAAAGAAAAAAAGTCTTTTAAAAAAGTATTTTATTTCGGGACCAGCAGTTGGTTTAATGGCTATGTTGCTGGACTCCCATGTAGTCGACTGCAGTTCAAGTCCTGGACCCGGTGGCTTAAACTCACGCTAGGCACGTGTTTGTGCATGCCCACGATCCCGAGAGGAGAATGGAGGAGAAGGGATTGTAGCATGGCCATCCCCCCGGGGGGTGATTTCTTACTTTCTCTCTCTCTCTGTCTTTCTGACGAGTGCACGCACCTTATAGCAAAAACCTCTCAAAAATTATTTATTTTAACTTTGTTATTATTATTTTCCAATTTGACCAGAGAGGGACAGAGAGAAAGAGAGGAAGTGAGAAAGGAAGCCACCAGGTCCAGGACTTGAGCCACGGTTGGCCATGTTGGAGCCGTAACTCCTTAAACCACCATGGTACCTGCCGGCCCTAAAAAAATCTTTCATAAGGAGCCTTCTGGTATATTCAGTGACAATGTTTTTTTTTTTTTTTGGAGAGGTTTTTGCTATAGGGCGCGTGCGCTCGCCAGACAGACAGACAGAGACAGAGAGACAGAAAGCGAGAAATCACCCCCCAGGGGGTATGACCATGCTGCAATCCCTTCTCCTCCATTCTCCTCTCGGGATCTTGGGCACGCACGTACATGTGCCCGGCGTGAGTTTAAGCCACTAGGTCCAGGACTTGAACCACAGTCGACTACGTGGGAGTCCAGCGACATTAGCCATTACGCTAACTGCCAGTCCCGTGACAATGTAATTTTTTTTTTTACAATGTATTTTTTATAGACATTTTAATATGGTTTGTTTCCAGTAAGACAAGAGAAAATGAACTTTCCAAGTTGAGACTTTAACTAGCACTTACTGCTCCATTTTGCAAGGTAAAAGATAGTTTATAGTTAAATAGTATATTGATTTAGTATATAACGTTTAGTTTGAATCATTCTATAATTAAATTGGCAAAGTATTTTATCTCATGTTTTAGGGATCGCCATTAATCAGAATTATTTAATTTTATTTACTATTATTGTTTTTTAATCTGACCAGAAAGATACAGAGAAGGGGGGGGGGGGAGTGAACACAAGCCACCAGGTCCTAGACATGAACCAAGGTTGGCCTGTGGGAGTCCAGCACCTTAACTACCTTGCAACCTGTCAGCCCCTTAATTTTTTTTGTTGTTGTTGTTGAGGTTTTGCCTTAGGACGCATGCACTCTCCGAAAAAGAGACAGTGAGAGGGAAAGTGAGAAATCACTCTACAGAAGGGATGGTCACGCTATAATCCCTTCTCTAGTCTCCTGCTCGGATCTTGGGCACACATGCAAATGTGTTCAGTGTGCATTTCAAGCCACCAGGTCTGGGACTTGAACTGTGGTCAGCCATGTGGGAGTCCAAAGACGTAATCACTACACCATATGCTGGTCCCTAATTAAAATTTTTAAGCATGAATTTTTAGGGGCCAGCAAATGGTGTTGTGGTTAAGGTATTGGATCTCACATGGCCAATTTTGCAGTTAGAATCCTGGACCTGGTGACTTGAAAATTTTTCAGGGTGCTTGTGCATGCATGCCCAAAATCCTGAGGGGAGAATGGAGGAGAAGGGATTGCAGCGTGGCCATCCCCTGGGGGGTTATTTCTCACTTTCGCTCTCACTCTGACTGACTCCAGAGGTACACGCCCTATGGCTAAAATCTAAAAACAAAAACATGATTATTTTTTAATGTTTTAACGTCGTACAGTCTCATTTTATTATTTGAGTTTTATGCTGTTCTGCTGCATTGCTGTCATCTCTTTTGGATTTTCTTTCCATTTCTTCATCCTGTTTGCTCTTCTGTTTTGGTCTCTCATGTTCGAGGCCTTTTCCAGGTTTTCTTGTAGTTTATCAGAAAGACCCTGACATGCTAATTGGACATAGAGGGGAGATGGGACCTGTTGGCTTCTCTGTAGGTGACTGGGCACCTTTATCTTGTCGTCTGGCTTTACCACCTCTGCCCTCCTGACTTTTCATCTCACATTAATAACTTTTTGCCATAATTGTGTCATGCTTTTTTTTTTTTTTTTTTTTTTTACTTTCAGTTTTAAGAGGTTTTTGCCGTAGGGTATGTGTGCTTGCCAGAGAGAGAGAGACAGAGACAGAGACAGTAAGAGTGGAAGTGAGTAATCACCTCCCAGGGAATATAGCCATGCCACAATCTCTCCTCCTCTGTTCTCCTCCCAGGATCTTGGGCGCACATGCATGTGCTCCCAGTGTGACTTTCAAGCTACTGAGCCCAGTACTCAAACCATAGTTGGCCATGTGGGAGTCCAGTGACGTAAC